GTCGTAGTAGTACTCGTAGTCGTCGTCGTAGTAGTAGTAGTAGTCGTCGTAGTAGTAGTAGTAGTAGTAGTAGTAGTAGTGTTCCTTAGTGCTGTCTTAGCCCTCGAATGCCAGGACCTCGAAGATGCCTCCACGGCCAGACGAGATCGTCAGAAGATATGGTCTCCAGTCCTGTCGTGGCTCAGCCGAATAAGGCCCTATGGCAGGTATATTACTCATATTACCACTGCCAGCACTGCCACTTTCCGAACCAACCGTGCCAGAGTACTGCATGATGCTAGTGATTTTACTCGTCCCGAAACCAATCCTCGGCCCGAAGCTCTTCTACCTGTGTTCGTGCTTCTGCTAATGCTGCTACTACTAGCACCTTAGTATATAGTACTAATACAATTGCTACTATTACTACTACTACTACTACTACTACTACTACTACTACTACTACTACTATACTACGACTATACTACTACGGACTACTAGTACTACTCTTGCTGCTGCTGCTGCCGCTGCTGCTAGCCCAAGGCCAGCTCGTCGCCACGTGTGAGCGAGACGACTCAACAGCTGCATTATTCATAGAAGCTCGATAGTGCATCGGTCCCTATTTAGCAGACATATAGGTACGTCAAGCAGGTGGGTTCATGTCAGAACAGCTATCATAGGCTATATAGACATTTCCGGTGTATTTTGATGTCATTTGTCGAGCTTCTGTGCTGAAAATCACCAAATGGTGGCAAAACCCGGTGACGTAAAAACCCGTAGCAGTGACGTAAAAGCCCGTAGCAGTGGCGTAAAAAGCCGTAGGGCCATTTTTGCCTTTACTTTTGCTTGTTGTACACAACATGTGTTGCATGCTCGTATAGCTGTAGGCAACTTCCGGTGCCGTGCTTATATTCCTTCAATCAAGGATCAGTTTCGGTGTTTGACTCTTGTGATCATGGCTAAAAAGCCGAAGACCCGTGCAGCAGCCAGTGGCCTCCAGAGGGGGGCGAGCAGCTGTTCTGATCCGAGCCGCCTGGAGAAAGGCAAGGCTGTGAAGGCAGAGCCGATATCTATAGAGGACAAGATCAAGGAAGCCAGCTTCAGAGCTCGTGCTTGATGTCATATGAGCATCTATCAACTCAATATGTAGATATCATAAAGAATCTACCTCATGCAGGAGGCTCGACAGCTCCTGGCCGACCTCACAGCTGTGCAGGAAGCCGCTTCAACGGGTGCCAAGCCTGTGCTCGCCCCTGATCCGGCTGCTGCAGAAGTTCCCACGGAGACTCCTGCAACCAAAAGTGGTGGGAAGAAGCTCAAGAGGAAGAAACCTTTGAGCCATGAGTCGGAACAACCCCAGGAGGACACCCCGGCCCCACCTGAGAAACCAACCGCAGCTGAATCTCAGGAGCAGACCCAGGCCCCAGCCGAATCTCCCAAGAAGCCAACCCCAGCAAAATCTCCGAAGGCCCGGACTCCAGCTAAGTCTACCAAGAAGCCGAGTCCAGCCCTACCGGCCCAAGCCGAATCTCCCAAGAAGCCAAGTCCAGCCCGACCGGCCCAAGCTGAATCTCCCAAGAAGCCAGCCTCACCGAAATCTCCGAAGATCCGACGGAACCCAGCTGAAACCCCCAAAAAGCCAACCCCAGCAAACTCGTCTTCAGACCCAGCTGGTCTGGACAGAGCTGATGCTGCTGCCCCGACAGGTTTCCCAAAGCAGTCGCCCGTGAGGGTGCTTGTCGGAGCAGACCCGGGCCCAACCGCCCTTAGAAAATACGCTGGAGAAGATGCTCAGAACCCTTTCCTCGTGCTTTCGCCCAACAACAAACAGGACCTGCCCAAGGACATGCCATCCCCGCTGCGACCCAGGGATCTGTCACGAGCATTCCAGACCCCAGACAAGTCTGGGACGCAACCGCCCCCAACCGCTGATGACGAAGACAGTCTCGACAACTCCACCCCCACCCGCATCGGTGAGTGGCTACGATCAAATTCGAAGCCCTTGGAAGACCCCACTGAAGAGGCATGGCCCTCAATCGCAACACAGATGTGTGTGATAGCCCAAACAGCTTGTGCTACTTGTGCATGCAACACAAACGTGCATGTCTGCATGTCTATAGCTTCCATGTCGATCTAAATATCGATCTACTATAGGACGGCTACGGTGTTGGTGCTATCGACGGCATGCCCGAGGACCTTCAGTATGTGCAATATGAATGCGATCGGCTTTTGTGTTCTATCGAAGTTTACCCAGTGGAAGGAGATTGGAAACGAATCTCCCGCAAGCAGTGACGGCAGTGATGATGAAGCCTCTCGTGGCCCTCCGGGCAGTCCTGCTCCGCCCAAGCGAACATCATCCAGGGCCAGGCTGACAATCCTGAAGGTCGCTTAGTCTAGGGATGTTTGGCCTCTCCAAACAGCAACACTCTCCACTCGGCAAACCTAAGGCTTCCAAACGGGTCGACACGAAGGCCGAAGCTGCTCGAGTTGATCAAGTTCTACGCCGGCTTTGCCGGAGAAAGAAGCGAGGCATGTTGGTGCCAGAAGAGATACACAAGCTCTGGGTCAAGGGCGGTTCACATCGCCGTGAATTGGCCAAGATTTTGGTCGAGGTCGGGGAGGACAAGGACGGCACCGGTTGCACGCACAAGCTGTTATCATCGCTATCCCTCAATCTTTCGCTTCCCATGAGCAGGATGCATTCTGCCAGAGAGTCACTCATCGCTTCACCCAGCTCCGGAGCAACCGCTTCAAGGTCAAGTCAGGGTTCTATACGGAGCAGCTCATGAAAGATGAGCTGAAGTTCAGCAAGACTCTTGTCTCACTTGTTTCGGGAGTGTGTTTTTCTTGACAGGCAGTGCTGCTGCATCAGCAGTCATCCGAGGGAACGCCGAGCAGCGATTCGGAAGTTCTGCTTCCGGAAAGAGAACCGGAAAACTCATGTCAGGTCGGAAAAGAGTGGGAGTGCACCCGACCACCTATGTGCATTGTGCACTGCACACATAGCATGTACCTTCCTTGCACACCTGCCCTATAGGAGAGACAAGTACGAGAAAAAGGTGTACTGGTTTTACTGCGACGTCGCCTACGAAGGAACATGCACCAACGAAAACAAGGAGGAGCTTGAGAGGGTCACCGACCTCGGTGAAGCCTCGGTGGCCCGAGTGCCTTTGGGTTTGGAGGCAGGTGTCGCCCCTGGGGGTGGCATGCCGCCGCCTGAGGAAGAGACGGAAGAAGTTTCTTCAAACGCTGAAGCAGAGAGTGACGAGGAGAATTCATGCCAGAGCGAGGGCGAGTCGAAAACCACATCCGGCAAGCGAAAGCGAGCAGCTTCAACAAGCAAGAGCAAGGCCCCCACCAAGAAACCCAAGCCGGGTGCAAAGGCCCCCTCCCGGGAGGAGCTTCCCACAGAGGACCGCTGCATCCATGTCTCTATGTGTTCTTCATGCTCCCCCTCCCTCACCCTATCTCTCTCTCTCTCTCTCTCTCTCTCTCTCTGTCTCTCTCTCTCTCTACCTGACTGACGGACCCCCTTCCTCTTTGTCTCACGCACACACACAAGCACACGCACATGTAGGGTTTCTTGTTTGGTGTGGTTTGTAAGTCTCAGTTTAGGAACCTTTAAGGTGCTAGTTGGTTTTGTGGTCTATATACTTACCAGTGTCAGTGTAGGAACCTTTGGGGATATACATGGGTTTAGTTTAGGGTTTGGAAACAGTAACGACTTATCGATCTGCTCCCAACCAGTGTCTTGTTCACCCCGACAGGACATGGATTCGATTCCGGAGGTTCTCGCCGAGATCTTAAAGCAGCAGGGCAAGTCGCAGAAGATCTTGGGCAAGTGTGTCGAAGCAGGTGCACAGTCGTTGCTGGGCCCGAAATCGGCACGCATACGTGCATGTTTCTGGCTTGTGCTTTCGGCTTGTGTATGGTTCTGATAGATGATGGTTTCTTGCTCCAGGGATGCTGACTTGCTCAAGAAGCAGATGGCTGAGCTCACTGAGAAGCATGACAAGATCGCAGACATGAAAGCTTCATACGACTGCGATGAGACTGTTGATGGTTCGTGTCTTCGATGCATTCAACATTGAACCGACTCGTCACGGGTCCTTCTTCTGCTTCGTGTGACTCCACCCAAGGAGCCTCAGCAAGCTCATGAACGAAGTCAGCAAGCTGAAGCTTGGCGAAAAGGATGTTTCAACTTCTGCACGCACATGAACTTGTAGTTTTGCGAAAGCCACATGTTCGCAGCATGAAGCACCTAAGGATTTCCCGCATGGCTACGGAAGAGAACAAAATCAGGAAGCAACTTGCCTGAGCTTTCTAATCGTTGTAGTGTCACACGACTCGACACAATGTGCTTCAGAAGTTCGGGTCTTACTCAGGACCGTGCTGGTGAAGAAGAGCAACAAGGGCTCCCCAAAGGTCAAGGAGGGCGACCAGACCTCCCCAAAGGTCAAGGCAAAGCCTGGCCCGAAGGGCAAGAGCAAGCCGAAGAAAGCTTAGGTAGCTTAAGTATGGTTCGAGCCCCTACTGGGTTGCACTGGTGTCACTCAGCATGTCGCACACTTCTAACCTCTATAATTATTCAGATAGACAGCTAGAGGCTAGTGTCGGTTATCTGGGTTATAAAAGTTTTTACAGTTTAAAGGCTTATGGGGCTGAATGGATATGGATAGGCGGTTCTTAGACCTTTGGTTTATACGTGTACGGATACTCAAGACGACTAGCAGCTTGTACTGCTTCTTTACATAGTTATGTTTGTATAGGGTTTTGTTTTTTGGTAGTAGCTCGCTGTAAATAGGTCTATGCTTAGTCTATGCATCCGGTGCAAAACAGATAGGCTCCGGGAGGGGATCTTTATGATGCCTGGCAAACCAATCGTGTTTGCTGATGGCTGACGATGAAGAACACGTGTCATGCACGTGCCGGGGAGTGTCGCTTCGTGTCAACACAGCTGGCCCAGTCTGCTTGCATTACCTCACTAGCCATGTCGCTTGCCATGACCTTACACTGGTGACTCAGTGAACATAAGCACCCTCCCAAGTCCACACTGCCCTCGCCGCAGGTATGCTGTCGACATCTTCAATAAGATCTGAGAATTCTGCAAAATCGTCTGGAGATGCTGGGCCTATCGGGGATGCTTTTGGCAAGGCTATGGTCAAGGGGGTGCCTTGACTCTTGTCGCTGTAAAGAGGCATCCATTATAATCATTTCAAACCCTTACGAACCTTAAGTGTGTTTTGTAAACCCTATAATGCAAGCCCCTAGAGTTAGTCTTGACTTTGGGGTCGGGTGATTCCTCTGAAGGATTCGGGCTAAGGTGTGTGGTTTAGGACCAGCTGTGATGCATGTAGTTTTGAGGCTACTTCAGAAAGAGGTGTGTGCTGTGTGCTGTATACTCTATGAGTTTCGAGAAAGGTTAGCTATTATAACCCTAGCTGAAGCTTCCCATGCCTCCGGAACCACGAGGATGTATAGGCCGAACGTCCAGGCCTCACTCACTTAGTGTGCATTGTAAGCCATAGTACCAAATTATTTGTCAGGTATCGAGTGAGATGGCATCCGAGATAGCAGCTGCTGTTGTAGCTGAGATTGATGGGGCTTTCGGTCCCGAAGCATCAGCTAAGCTTCAATCTGGGCGATTGCTGCAGACTATGACTCGGGCCTACAAAACAGGGCACTCTGCTGAGACTGTTCGGTCATGCCTGCAGCCTGCTGTGGCCTTCCCGCTACCCATTTCTCACGCCGACCTTGGGCTGAAGAAGTTGCACCCTGTGATATACCCTTCTGATTTCATTCGTACATTGGCAAACACTGGTAACCTGCTGAATTTGACTGGAGGTAAGCCCCTATCATCCCTGGCTTTATTCTGGGGGCGATTCCAACTGCTACGTCCAGATCATCCCGTCTTCGAACTGTCGGAGTCAGACAGGGCCTACACGGTACCAATATATCTTATCGCAGACGAAGGTCGTGGGTTCAAAAAGACAGGAATCATGGTACTGGGCTACGAACCGGTATTGGGCTTCGGTTGTGAAGCCGAGGACGAGCGAACCTCCCGGGATGAACTCAAGATGAACTTCGTTGGCAACACCTACATGACCAGGATGCTGTTCAGTGTATTGTCGAAGACAAGTTATGGGAAAAACAGTGTCGCATTGCATGCCCTTGTTGAGAACTTGACAATGGACTTGGCTCGGTGTTTCGAAACAGGCCTTTCCGCGAATGTCGATGGTCGCCAAGTGTGTCTTCGAGCCGTGGCCATAGGCCTGAAGGGCGACTGGCCCGCATTAAACAAATTGGGCAAGTTGGAGAGGCATTTCACTAGAGAAAGTTACCCATATGGCAAAGGTATTTGCCATCTTTGCCAAGCCAACACTGAAGAGTGCCCCACTTGGCACGAGTGCGATTTCACCACAGCACCGTGGGTTGCTACAATGTCGACTGCACCTATGCCATGGAGACCGACACAGGAGTCAAGCCTTACAAGGAATTTACCAATGGAAGTTGCATTCAAACCACAGTTTTTTCTGGTGGATCTCTTTCATACCGTCCATAAAGGTGTCCACGCAGACCTCGCCGGATCTGCGATAGTTACTTGGGTAATGTTATAGGGCATATACTTTTCCATTCGTTTACTCCAGGCAGTGTAGCTTATTATGCAAACCCAGCAAAGTTGTAATCGCCCTCTCAACCATAGCTATCTAAGGTGACCCTATTGGACTTCGGGGTTTCTGGATGCTCTGCTACGGGTGCGGTTCCATGCTTGAACCATGTTTATGAAGAGCTCAAAGCTTTTGCAAAGGAGAGCAGCCTCAATCTGCACCTGAACCAACTCACCCGAAAGATCATTTCCTGGGACAGCCATGCCGAGTACCCGTCGGGGTTTCGCAGCTCATGGATTGTTGTTTTGATAAAACTTGTTAGATATACAACATATAATCGGTAAAGTTGAGTTAGGCTTTTTCGTTTTTTTGTGCTGCTGATTCTGCTAAGGAGCTGGTTCAAGGGTGCCGACACTGTCGTAATAAACAAGTTCCTAGAAGCTAAGTTCGCAGCTTTGTTGCGATCGCACGACTTTGGCGATGATCTGGGCTATATCCAACAAGTTGAACAGTCCTTGCGAGATGCGAATGACTTTATGACATCGCTTTACAGGGCCGGGCTTTTTATCACCCTGAATCGCTTGAAGCATTTGGTCCGGGTGGGCAAAAGCATGCTCAAGGGCTACTCGCAGTGTGCAGACCTGGCATTTCAGAAAAACCTCGCCAGGTTCAAATTCAACCCAAAGTTCCATATGCTGTGCCACTTTGTTTATTGGCTGACACAAGATCTTGCTGCTCGGAGGTGCCCGATCAACCCTTTGGCTTATAGCTGCCAGATGCCGGAGGACTTCATAAATCGGGTCGCAACATTGTCCCGAGGAGTAAGTCCGAAGACTGTCGTAATTCGAACCCTGGAGCTTTACAGGCTAGCTGTTGCTGAGGTCATAAAAGCCCGAGGCTCGGGCTCATGATCGATCGCTGGCTGGTTCGAAGCGGAAAGAGCCGGATTCAGCGGGTGAAGCTCGAACACACCCGGCCCCAAATATTGAATGCATCCCTCAATCTTATAAGCTGCATGCACTTTGCACCAAAGCTGGCTTAGTTGTGATCCCAGGCACCCGTCCAGATAATGAAGTTTTTCAAAGCAAGCCCGAGGGCCCCTAGTGTCAACTCTAAGATGCATTATGTTGTGAAATCGAGCACTTTCCCCCCGAAGATGTTGCTTTTATCCCAAAACCCCCGGACCCAAAACCTGCAACTTTTAAAAGTTGCTTCAGAAACAGCATCTAGTGAAGGGTCGCAGCTTTTGGGGCCACTTTAGATTCCCAGGTAAACCCTAAAACCCTAAAACCCTAAACCCTAAACCCTAAAACCCTAAACCCAGAATTTCTCCTGGCAGATCTGCCGGACCTGCCGGACAGTGAACTGTTACGAGATGACGGCTGGGTCCTAAGAGACTTCGTGAGGTCAGAACTATTTCAGGGGCCGACGAACGCAGACTGGATGTTGTTTTTGGGGATCAGGGCGATTAGGTTTTGTTCTCGTTGCGGTACACTCGATTACTGTTTTCTAGCCAGGGGATTCTTTGGCCTGTCGTCATCGTCTACTACTTGAGCATCCTCGCCCCTCCACTCCGGAAGCCGTGGCTCTCACCTCTCACTTAGATTATCAGCCCGGTGTGCACTGATTAACCCCGAACCCCGATCCTAAATCCCCAGAGCCCCCGAAACTCGAAAAGCCTTGAAACCCCAGATCACTAGTCCCTGTACCCTAAAACCCGCCAAGCCTAAACTCTCAAGCCTTAACTCGAGTTACGCACTTTCCACACAAAAGGTGTGGAGGCTGCGGATGCCCTGCATTCGCAAATCCAGCAGCAGCAGGCCATGTAACGGGAGTCTCGCATATTGTACCTGAGAGTTCCATGAAGACTTTGTAGGGATAGAAGGATGTTTATAAGGATTCGAGGAGAGGGACGTTAGGGTTAAGTGTACAGCATGGTACGCCGTTAATAGGGGTTCTAGATCATGACCTTTGCAACCACGTATTCTAAAGCGGTCTCCGGGTTAGAGTTTTGTGGCGGTGGGTTGAGGAATCAGGGTCCCAGCAGTTAAGTCCCTCCTCAACCTAGAGTGATCAAGTTATTCTAGCATGGTACCCTAAACCCTCAACCCTAAACCCTAAATACACATAATTCGACAATGGCCAATTGCCTATTCATGCCTCGCCTGGATGCCAAAACTTCACCAGGGTTCAAGGGCAACCTAGACCCCGAGCCTCTGTTGGGGCCCACAATGAAGGCATACAAGGTCTCCATGAACGGTAGCGTGTTGAGGGCTTTGGGTTGAGACTTGAGAGCTCAAGAGCTCTTGCAAGGACACTCCCAACTGGGCTGCCTCTTTGGAGACCCACCCCGAGGACTTGGCAATACTGGCTCGGGTCTCACGGTATCGGACTACGCCCACCATGATTCTAGTGTGGACTGAAACATACATTTGCATGTGCACTTGCACTTACTTGGTATGCTCGATGTACTAGTTTCGGAGACGGTATACATGACGACGATCATGACGTCGCGGTGTTGATCAAGCTTGTCGCCACTGCATGCTGATGTAGAATTAGGAACGTGCATGTTCGATGTTCTGTTTGGTTGGTAGATTCCGATGTTCGTCCTTCTACAGATCAAAAGTTAAGCAGTCCGTGCCGAAATGGCTTGCCTCACACCCGAAATTGAAAGGCTTTTACCCAAGATCAAGCTGGCACTTTTCGGGATTGTTCAACGCCGCACCTCACCTTGAATTGCAATCAAGACGAAGGCCTGTGCTGATATCAATCCCCTTGAGGGTCGTGCGCAGTAGCAGTTTGCAGCGATAAGGTCATCGCCAGCGCCGGACGCCAGGAGACGGCTTATAGGGGTTGATGCCGCTGTAGAGGCAGAGGGTCGTGTCAGCTGTCTAAGACGCAGCTGTTTGCGTTTCAGTGCCCGAAATCCCAAACTGCGAGAGCTCTACAACCCTAGCCGCCCTAGAGCTTCACAGTCCAAACTCTCTGCTGCTGAAGCCTTCGAGTTACTACCTCTTGAAACCTTGGCGCGGCGTTGCTTGGCTTCCATTCTAGTGGCACTTTTGCGGGCACCCTCAATATACCAGGTGCTGGCTGCTAGAAGCACCCCAACCCCTGATGAAAGCCGTAAGAAGTGTTTACTGACTGAAACGTACGTGAGGAGCTTCTGGAAACGAGTTTACGTTCTCTGGCTTCGCTGCAAGGCCGGATGGGAGGAAAGTGTTGGAGCTAAAGCTGGTCCTAGGTTGGGGGTTTCCGGCTTAATGATCCTGTTCAGTTTTGGGTTGAGCATTCTGAAGCTGCAAGGGCACTTCACTTTGGCTGGGCTTCGGGGGAGTGTCTTTATGAGTTGTTCAAGTTGGCCATGTTGCATCACGATCCTTGTGATTTAGATGTTCCGGGTTTGGGGATCGAGTCAATTGGAGTCCTTGGCACATGTACCATACGGTACCTTGCAGTAGGATGGTCTTTGTTTGAGGCCTAAGGGAAACGTGCCGAGCTTCTTGGCCTTGTCATTGGTGTGCATTTGTCACAGGTGGTTGTTGTAAGTACTCACGTCGTAAGGTTGTCTTACATCTTGGGGTAGTGCTCATGTAGCAGACGGATATGTACGAAATTAAATTTGAGGATATAGAAAGACATACTTGCATAACACTCAGACAAACGTGTATATATATATATATACACACACAAGCACTGGTACACGGTCGCATGAAGCAGGCACGCAAGATACGTGCATATCTTCACATTCTCCCAACGTTTGTACAGCAAGCAGAGTAATCAGCAAAAGCACTTTTTTAAACTGAGCTGATATGTTGTTGTAAGGGTTCCAGGAGGGTTCCGTGGCTGCGTGGTTCACTGTGCCAGAACTACCAAGCTGCATCTTCTTGCCGAGGCTACCGGCGAGAGCAGGTTCTCGTGTTCCAGGCGGCTTGCGCATCAGACCCTAACGGCCCTAACGCCTCAGAAAGATTCGTAAAGTGTGCCGAGAGAGGTCTCGCCAGGAAAAGGCCCAAGCTAGCAATCAGGGAAAGCGCAACAAATCCAATGTGACAGCTGATGCAACTTACTTGATGTGTGGTTGTTCCTACCGGCCAACCTCAACAGCCTTCGCAAGACAACAGTCAAGGACAACTGAAAGATATGTTGTGGTTCCAGCAGGACTAGAAGCATCTGGAATGGTTTAGATCGCGTGAGGATACTTATGAGGATTGCTACCAAGATCATGACAAGCGCGGCAATGAAGAAACGCTGCTCCCCATCCTCCTCGCCTTCGAAACTCGCGAGAATCCGATTTGACCTTGCCATTTTCCTGCAGGGCACCAGCTCACACCGACTATCTCTCTCTCCCTCTCTCTCTCTCTATCTCTCTCTCTCTATATATATGTATATATACTCTCTCTAGAGATCTATAAAAAAAATATATATATATATACATATATAAATAAATATATGTATATATATATAGAGATATATTCATTTGACCTAGCAGAACATACAACCATCTTGCACTTTGCAAGCCAGGACCGGCCCGACCAGCTGCCCTCTCGAAGCCTCTTCAGTTTTTGCGGGTTGTAAGGTTGAGGGTTCATGGGTAGTTATAAGTGGGGTTATAAGTAGGGTAACTATACTTATAACCCATATTAGGGGACTTATAACCCTACTTATAACTACCCCTGAACCTCCAAGTAAGGTTGAGGGTTCATAAGGATCCCAAGCACCAAGAACTGCTAAGCCAAGCCTGGTAGGGCCCCTACAGGTATTGAAGCCAAGCAAGCCGAATATATAGTTGCCTTAACAATCAGAACAGGTTTTCTTTTAGTGCACCGCCCACTACTTAAGTCTAGTAGAAACGTATATTTTTGGATTTCTGAAGTTCCGGGTTTAGGGTTCGGATCTCCAAGTTGCGCTTCCGCGCCCCTAACTCGGCTGCCAGGATGGACCGGACGCGCGGGCCCAATGGGTCAGAGCCCTAGGAAGCTTCTTGCCGTGGGAGCCTTCTTGAGAGCCCTAAGGGTTTAGGGTTGAGGGTTTCCGGCTCATACAGGAACTTTAAGGCCAAACGTCTATGCAATTATCTCTCTCTCTCTCTATGTATATGTATAAGTGTATTCATAAGTTATTATGCTTAGGGGTTTTGGTGCTTCAGGACTTGAGGGCTTGTCTGCTTTGGGTTTGGAGTTCACAGCGTTGGGTTTGCGGTTATGAGGGCAGGCCAGCTGCCTTAATCGCCAGTTGTGCTGTTTGATTTGTTGATGAGTTGTGTGGCTTTGTTTGTTTGCCTTTAGTTTACGGCTTTATCATGGGATTGGAGTTTCAAGGCTCTGAGTGAGAGGGTTGCAGCATCTCGGGTGCCTCAGGGGCTTTCGAGTGTGAACTTTATGAGGCTGCAAGGCGGATCTGTGATTCAGGGTTCTGCTTTTGACAGAAAGGTTCAATCCTAAACCCGAACGCCCCCACCTCCTAAAACCGGCAGTATCGTGAGAACTTCCTCCTTGAAGTTCGCTGATGGGATTGAATAATTGGGGTTCTTGATGTGCGGCTTGCTGTATGTATGTATATATATATATATATTTAAAGGTGATGCCTAGGCTTCTATTAAGGAAGAGCAAGAAATCGCACCGGGCAGTTCGAACTCTGAACTTTTGGAGATTCCGCCCCCTAATCCTAAACTTTCACAAACCTACACCCTAAACATCTTCCCTAAACCCTACAAGGCAGGACAGTTCAAGGTGCTCATGAATTGCTGACGTGAGTGGCACGGCGCCACGAGAATGACCTACAAATAGGACTAGGGCAGAGCTTATGGGCTGTAGGCTTGCAAAATCCCAAGGTAACACTCGAAGCTGCGGAACTACGACGATCATCACCACCATCGCCAGCATCGCCATGATCAGCGACACCCGACCCCGAGTAGGAAGCCAACAGCAAACAGCAAACACAGTAATTGCAATATGGCGGCGGTGGAAGCAGCATCGCAAGAATAGTGGCAGTCATCAATTATGCTTCAGGTCGCACAAACGATGTTTCAACTTGCCTGGGCCGGATTCTCAGCGCCGTTCAGGGTAGCCGCTTGGTGCTGGGACACTTTGAAGACCCAAAGCGGTAGTCGCATGGAGTCCTTGTGGCCCTCATCGCCATTTTCGCTATCTGTGTGTTCTTCCTTATCATCACTTCTATCTTCCCGGTTGTTCTGCTATATTCAACAATGCCATCAATGGCCTATCTTTGAAAATGAAGTGGCAGCAAGCGACAGTAGAAATCAGTGCAGTTCTGTTAGGGAATACGAATGGTACTGAGCACTTGCCGTGATCTGATGATGTCTGTCACTGCTAAGGACGCGAGCGACAGAAATGCTATTGCATAACATAATAAAATATAATATAATATAATATAATATAATATAATATAACCGTATGAGTCAAACTCAGCCACTTACGGCGTACGACAGTTTCAAGCACGAGACCCCCAATCCCCTCGACCCTGCGCCCTGAAAGCCCCACTTGGAGGTTCATGCGTAGTTATAAGTGGGGTTATAAGTAGGGTAACTATACTTATAACCCATATTAGGGGACTTATAACCCTACTGATAACTACCCATGAACCTCCAAGTACCAGGTCTTGAATGACCGTGAGAGTGACGAGAGCTTTCTTGACTTCGACTCACGGGTCACTGGGTCTGGAGCTCAAGTTTAGAGTTTAGGGCAGGAATTGGGGTGCAGGGTTTGGGTGGAGGGTTTGGGGGTAGGAGTACGTTGTGTTGTTAGCGTTGTGGTTGGGACCACGTGCGGTTTCCTCTTAGATCATACGTGCAATGTTTATTGACAATCCTTGGAAGGTACGCCAGAGGCGGTCCGCGCTGTTTGTGCATTCGTTCGCGCGCCCCCGCGCGGGTGTGTGTGTGTGCGCGTGTGTGTGTGTGTGTGTGTGTGTATGTGTGTGTCTATGTGTGTGCGTGTGTAAGAGAGAGAGAGAGAGAGAGAGAGAGAGAGTGTCGAGAAAGAGAGAGAGAGAGAGAGAGAGAGAGAGAGAAAGAGAGAGAGAGAGAGAGAGAAAGAGAGAGAGTGTGCGTGTGTGCGCTCATACACTCCTCTATCCTACTTGAGGTTATGTGGCAGCTAATCGATCATGGAAAAACGAATGTCTGCGAAAGTGTACACTTGTTCCAGATTCGTCATCGTATACTATAAGGCAAGAGCCAAGGAACAAGTTGCTTTTGTCTTTCACAGCCCTCTTTCCACACAACATGTGCGGGTGGGCTTGAAGCCCGGGGTCCTGACCGACCCCTACGCCCGGGAGGGAGAGAGAGAGAGAGAGAGAGAGCCATTTTGGCTCAAGTCGTCTGCC